GTAAGACGCTGTGAAATGACTGATCATCTCTAGAGAGAGCGCATTTCATGATGAAGGTGACTAGAGCATACATAAAAAAGGAGGACGAAAAAAAAAGAGAAGAAGGGAACGAAGGAGAGTGAGGAGAGACAGGAGGCAAGGGGAGGGGGGTGCGAGAGGCGGCGTGTAAGCAAAAGCAGCGTATCGATCTGCCGTTAGCGACAACAGCCTCCCTCAGGCCGAAGAGAGAGAGGAGAGAGGTAGATAAAGTCACTGAGTAAAATACAGCTTATGCATATGTTTCAACTTGTAGCAGTATACCTCACTGCTGTCAGAACAATCGTCATCACTGGCAGAATTGTTTTGGCGCATCTTCGAGGGCACAAAAACATTGTTTGTATCATTTTCAAAAATTCCTGTTTCAAATGATTTCACTTTGAACTTTACTGAATAGCCATTGGAACAAGTTAGTGGAACCTTGCCACGGCTGTAGCCTTCAAATTTAGCCCGAATTCAGGCCAGCTTACGTACTACCTACGTGTGACGTCCGATTTTCCCAGATTTGCGCCCATATTGCATGGCTGAGAGAAGGCAAAGAGCATCAAAGAGCCTTTGTAGCCAATTTAATCTCAGATCGGGTAACGGCTAAACACATGAGGAGACCTCAAACATCATCCTGTCAGGGAAAGGGGAATGTGACTGGTAACACTGTGTGAAATCATCGATAGGACTCTGTGTGAACACCTCTAGCGTTCAGCGAATGGATGAGAGATAATTAAGTGCATGAGATATGCGTCTTGCACTTCGGGGTAGTCCCTAGAAAAGGACATCACCCAACCGTGAAACGACATCATCATCAAACTTAGACAATCTGGTATCAGGCAATCGAGTAAGGAAAACTGGTAATCATAGGTTCGTTTCTCGGAAACGAACACCAACACAGTACGGGAATCCCACTATTATATTATTAAGACCTCGAAATTAGGAAAAATGTAGGAAATGCTGCAACTCTGCCTTCGGATGTTATCCATTATCCTGCTCACGAACAAGAAAATCATTTTTGGTGCTGCGCCATCTGCCGCCAATTTGCGGCATCAGCCTTCTCACTAACATCTATAGTAACTTGTACACGGAGGTTTTTTTGACATCGACATTTTTGACAGAATATGACACCCGTTTTTGTCGCTGGCGCCATTTTGCACAGTTTTGGCGCGATTAAGTACCTTACATAGTTTTGGCGCGATTACATTTTGCACCAAGAACGACGAAAAATTGCATATTAAGGTTGACTGATACCCCGGCCTAAATAAAATTCATTTCTCGACACTTGCGCAACTTGGCGCTGTGCCAAGGCTGAGTCTGGGAGCAGTAATGATTCCTCCCCTATCAGGCTAACCCTCAGCATCAGAGTGCCGTGCATTGGCGCCGTCGCCTAGACTGAGGGAAATGGTGGCGCCAAATGGCGCTAGCGTCGAAAACGAGCACCATATCCGTTATCAGGATGTCATATAAACCCCGTATACAAGTTTTCATCGATTTTGGTGTGATAGGCGGTAGCGCCAAAGTAGCGCCCATTGGCACCAAATGGCGCTAGCGCCAAAAATGAATACTTATTCATGATTCAGGGCACTCAATAACCTCTGTGGGCAGTTTCAGCGAAAAAAAGATAGCAATAGTGGAATAGTGCCGAGCATCTGACCGTATGCGATCAACACTCGCCGCTCGGATTCAAACAATCAATAAATTATTTTTTATGGAACAATAAAACTCTTTATATCATATCCATGTACATATCCCGTGAGAACACACATTGCAACAAGTAATACAAAGACACTTGCGATGCGACAAACAATAAACATTCATTGATGAATGGAAATGATGAGACATATGGTAGGAAAAAGAGAAAGAACGGCGAAGATGAAGCGAAATCGTACCTCCAAACTTAGGCGTACATAAATCAAACCGGTGACATGAAGTGAATAATTGTCCATCACAATGGCGTACATTAAGGAGAGAATAATAATTTAGCGGAAATGAAAAAAAAGAAAAATCCTTAGGAGGACACGATGAAGGAAGACCTTTACACCATACAAATGGAGAAGCTAGTTGAGGCGACCCCAACGCAGATACGATCCCCACGAGCCCTCGGATTCACGACGAGTTGCTTCTGAACATTCTGTGATCATATTCAAGCTCACACAAGACGATGACAGTAAGTTCAACCAAGAGGCCAACTTTCACCCCTCCCCCCCCCTCCCCAACTCTCCCTACCACGTTAGACGTGAGGACCCTAGTATAGCGATCATACCCGTTGAACCCTGGCCATCCGTTCATACAAGGTAAACCCTCTACGGTTGGAGGATAACGGAGAAAGCCTCCAGTTTGAATGACCATTTTTCAGATGCGCCATGCGTTCTACTTCCATTCAGAATCTTGGAGGTATTTTGAAGGGTATAAACTGCACACTTCCTTGTGGAGCCAGCTAATACGCAGGTCATGGTTGTCCTCTGTCGGACAAGTGTTTCAGCAATTAACCGGTCTTGAAAGGATGGAAGCAGGGTTCATTGGCGGGACGTGTCATAGCGGTGCCAGTACACCACCCCAAAGGAGAGCCTCGGCACAATCCTCTCGCACAACCTACTCACCCTCATTCACGAACTTCCCCCTGAATTTTCCCGCCATCAATCGGAGGTATGAGGGAGTGCAGGCGGGGAGAGGGGGGGGTTGGGGGGAGGAGGGGGAAGTAGACACTTTCGACCAGCTAACTATCAGAGACAGCAGATTTACAGGGTCGCCAAAATAATGGAGATAAGGCACGCCGTACGTCGGGGTTCCGCAGGGGGTCTTATTGGTCCGGTGAAGAGGAGTCGTGAGCGTAATAGCTTTCCTGAAAGGATGTTGACTTTTCCAGATTTTCCCGTTTTGAGTGCGCTACATACCACCTCCCTTCCCACTCGATCGAAAGGAATTTCGTTGGAAAGGCTAGAAACTTCGGGAGGATACAGCAGGATGATACGTGGTGGTATGTAGACTGGAGGATGGGGAAGGGAGGGGAGGGGGTTGTACCAAATGACGAAATTCTGGGGGAAGAGGGTCGTGTTGGGCAAAACTTTCCACAACGGTGAAAGGCGTCCTGAATGGAGGTAAGAGAGCATACAAAGCGTGCGCGAAACAGGAAAAAAGTCACCAAGCGGAGAAATTTCAAGGCCAAGTCCGACCCGCCCGTCCTTCTCCCCCCCCTCCACAACGACGACGTTAGCTAAATGGAAGCCTTAGCTGGCCCAGGCGATTCGAGAGACCACACCACTTCCATTTTTGGAGTATAGCTCAAACAGCTCTCTAATCTACCTGAGCTGAAAAAGACCTGTTGAAGACTGACTACAACATCCTCCCAGTGCTGCCATGTAGTAGGCAAGGACAATGGGACTAGGTGATTTCTTTAAAACGCTACGTCACCTCGCGTAGAAGTGTTCCGATAAGACTAAATAATCTATTGTACTTGGTGCACACAGCACCTAAGTCTGCACACAAAACGCCACTGTTCATTGAACAGTTACATTTCCTCCTGGACAAAATTACATACACAAAACACACACAGAGAAAATAAACAAAGTACCAGTCACCGACAAATAAACGGACACATATCCTATGAGTAAACGTTGTTAACGCTATTCTTCATCGCATGATTACATCATACTAACAACATCCGGCAGTCTGAGGTTTGATTAAATCAACAGTACAGTCACCTCCGTGGACCCTATTCCTTAGCATGTGCGAGGTCAATGGGTCCACAGCTGCAGTCGCGTGCCACTTTCTCCGCTCAAAACTGCACGAGAAGAGGGATGTATGATATGATTCCTAGATGCCGTCTCCCGACTCCGCCTTCGCAGGCGCACGGCCCGCCATACTCTCTGCTTATCTGCGCCCTCTCACTTCTGCTTGTGCTCTACCGCTCACTGCGTGTTCCATGCAGGATTTCGGTTTCGACGCAAGTGGCGCACCTTGCGAATATTGTGGGCGGTGTCGGGAGACGGCACCGTGGTATTTCTACTCTCACCTCTTCAAGCTAAGCTTTATTCCCCATATACGTGCAACGAGAACCACTACCCAAGCGCTTTCGAGCTTGTTTTATCACGCTAATTGCCATTTCTTCCTACAGTTCAGCGCAACGAATACTGAACCATGGGCAAAAGAATTGGCCACAGCCAGAATTCGATCCAGGATTTCACGTTCACCGGAATAGCACGCTAGCCATTTCACCACCATGGCTGCTTCAACGGCATAAAAACCATCACATGAAAGCGTTGAAAGCATTCAGGACATCGCCGCACGCGAAACGGCTGGTATTTCTAGCTAGCTGACTTGACGTCCTGATGCCAAATCAGATAGTTCCCAGCCGCCCACGTCATGCACCCTCGATTTCACGGCCTTATCTCAACAACCCTACAACCAGAGGATCGCTTCCCTTTAATCAAAGTTTCGGGGACCACTAAATTAATATCGAATTAGATGAGACGAAGCCGTGAAATAATCTGGATAAGACGTAAGCTCCCACGACACAATTGATTTGACGCTAGAGTGCCACGTCGAGTCAACTATATATGAATGCTGTCCGTGTGCGATGCCACACCTCAGATGTCCTGAACTACATCTCTCTTCGACCCTCTTAACTTAGTGGTCATTATGCCATTGAAAGAGCCCTGATAAGATGTTTAGCACAAGTGCCCGATTGGCACGAGCTCTAGCTTCAAGTTCTAATTAAGATCAAGTCTTTTGCGCCTAACACCGCATTCCGGTGTGTAAGCGCATGTTTCTATTTTAGTCCCACTGCTGACAAGAACGCGGAACTGACAACAAATACGATCGATCAAAGCTATCTAGTAATTTTTACGACGCCGTGAGTACTATGAATAGATCCTGATAACTTGACCCTGACCTGAAGATCGAGAACAGGCTAGGCATAACAGACCATAAAGTGGTTACACCGCTGTAATTTTAGCTCGAGAGATAAACTGGAAAGGCTAGTAAACTGCCCGGTCTCGAAATAGGTTCAACGGGTCTGCACAGACTCTGTAGCCACTTGTTTCCCTTGTACAGTATACTACAAACTCACCATCCTGAGCAGCGATGCGAGTGAGACGTTCAGTTTCCTCAGGGGAAAGGCGAAGCATAGTTGTCAAAATGGGGACCAACTGTGAACGTTCTCCGGAAACTCGCTCCGGGCAGAGGAACTGAAAGCGAACAAAATGATGCCATAAATCACTACTTGAGGACATCATTCGTGATAAGTCTCAATTGGGAGGGTTTTTTTGGAAATAGGATCTTTCAATGCGTGTACTCTCTCGATATCCGGATAGGGGGCGGAAGTTACAAAATGGGCGGGGTCTGTCACTATCGTCAAGGTCACAGGCTTCAATCGATAAGGACACTTACACATATCCGCTACAAAGGGCACAAAAACTATACATAGATAGAACACTTATATTAATCGCTTTCGTTTTTTTAAGTATTTCAGCCGCAAATTCACTTTGAATTATAGTAACACATTTCATAGCACGCAGCCTGGAGAGTCACGATCCGTGCAAACAACAGGGCATTTGACGGAGGCATGGTCTGCAGCGCAATTAGATCAGATTTCCCATCAATTACAGCGGGCTAAGGACAGCATCATTGGTGGGAAAAGTGCGCCTGCGCTCCAATACGTGCCGCGTCACACGCCCTATCGTTTGTAGGAATCATGACTGTCCACAATCCCCGCTTGAGGTGGAGGGGCAAAGTACCACACGCTAGTGTTGAGGACCGTCTGTCACTTGGGCATATCTCTCCAACAACAAGTAATTAATTACCTTGATAATGACATTCTTCAAGTATTCGCTGTTCTCGATATGACTCACACGTTCCTCATTTCTCTCCAGACGACGAATTTCTTCTTTCAGAAGTTGACTCTAGAACGACGCCAATTACGACCAAACTCTACTGAATTAGGGACACTAAAAAGACAGGCAGCCTTACAGCGCCACTGAAAACGCAATTTCCTCCCATATCACAACATGACATCAAACTTTCAGGGATCTTCATCGGTAACCTATGGGGATAAGCTCCTTGCCAGCTTAATCAAGCCACAACCGTCACCATGTCCGCTAAGTACACATTCCATTGAAAAGGATGTTCATACAAAGCTCAATCAATATTTTATTGGCAGCTAGGCAGCGAATCCATTGATCCTTTACACTTCCTCTTTAGCTAAACCCCTTTTTCAGACCATCGGCATCTATTCACAGCTAACACGATCACATCGGACCGGACACCGGAAATGATAATGGCTGTTTTTCAGACCCTTAAATATAACTAGCACGTGACCGTAAAGCCGTACGGCATAACACACCTGAGCAACCAGAGTGGCATTTGTTGCTTCGGCATCACTCAACAGCTCGCGGGTATGTTGCAGGTTCTTGATGAGTCGCTCATTGTGCTCTAACAGTTCCTGCACAGATTTTACGCCATTATCATCACCCAAATGTGAGACAGTCTCCGCAATTTCGTCACCGAAAAGCACATCTTCCAATGTGCGCTCATGCTGAAATGCAAACTGTTATGCATTCAGTATGACACATCAAAGTTTAACTATGGCTACAGTGAAAGTCGAAGGCAGCGTTCAGACTTTGCGATGGCAACGATTCGTCGCCGTTCGCCGCGATCGACGCTAGAAAGGATACAAAATCGATCGCGTCGAACGTGCCCAAAGCGCTGCCATCGCGAAGTTGAACGCTGCCGAACGAGATCTTTACCCTTATTTTAGAAAAAGGATGAGGCTCTGATCAATAGTGCTTGAATTGCGCCACGTATTCCTCTTCCATTCAGAATCATATTGCACACTGAATACCTTGGCCTTTAAAAGGGCTTTCGAGGGTCAGTCAGTGCACGATTTTGTTTCATTTCCCCTCACAGAGAAGTCCCAAACTTAACCGACTTTAGCATTATTTTCTTAACAGCTGAGTCCCAAACCAACCGACTGACTTTGTACAGAGTAAGGTTCCGCTGGCCCACGCCAGAGAAGAGCCAGAATTTGACTCCTTCATCGTACGCGAGGTGAGGGATGCCCTTTCCACTGCACGACCTCTCCTTCACTTACACTGACGACTTAAAAGCAGTGGGCACGATGGCTGGGACGGCCGGTTGCTGCCAACGTGATTGGTGGAAGGCGGTGAAATGTGGCTAAACACCCTCTCGCAGCCCTTCCACCAATGACAATGGCAGCAACCGCCCGCCCCTAGCTATCGTGCCCACACTCTCTTTGAAGACAACGATGCGATCAACATTCAAAGGCAATCCCTCGAGATTCACACAATCCTATCAGGGTACACCAACAACCCTCCTTCCCCTCCAGCGGCGAAGTTTTAGGGTGAAACCTGATGAAAAGGAACGCTGCGGGGTCGTTGCTCAAGTATGGTCCCTCCCGAAAAATTTGGGACAGATCATACTTCGCAAAAAGTTTATACCGCGTGATGATGTGCCATTCCTACAGGTCCTACAATTCGAAAATGTGTTCCGTCTACGTCCTGGACAGGGGTGTGGTTTCCGAATTGGGCGGATTTGTATGAAAACAAAAAAGAGCACTCCCATCAATTATGTCCTCATTTGTGATATTTTCAGTGGAAAGTTCAACACACAGTTCAAGGGTGTTGCCCGAACTTTAGTCAATGTTCCGCTAACCCGTCTACGTCCAACACTACCTGGACAACCTCACAGGGTGCAAGTATGCACGCACTTACGCCGAACGAGATGCAATTTATAGACCTGTAATGCAGTGCGGCGCTCCAGTGGTCTATGACGTTTCCTCAGTATGCAATCATGTACTTCTTCCAATCTTTCAAGAACACTGCGCGGTATTTGCGGATCATTTACAGCGGTTGAGAGGGGCTCTCGTTGTGTGACGCAAAGAACATGTCAACTAGAGTTCACTACATGCTTTGATGAGTTAATGCGTCATCCCGGGAATGCTTTAGAAATGTCTTTCTCATATGCTCACTTTTTGGGGGGATGTTTCAAAATTCAAGAACCAAAATTCACAAGAGAGAACCACATTTGAATCTAAAATTGTTGAGGTCGAATTTCCACCTCAACAGTATAATGAAGCTCACGTGAAAGTATATGGGACAATATGGACAAAATGACAAGGCACAGTCCACTATAATCGTAGGGGCGGAGTCAACCAGCCGCTGTGAATTCCACAGGAGTATGTGACAACACACTCGTAAAATGCCGCGCTGGTCGGGTCGGGCGACGTCGTGCACAAGAGACGAGTTGTCCTGCCCAGCCGTTTGAATATGAACTTTAAAGGGACGGGACAGATCGACACCGCGCGGTGTGAAGCCCTGCCTCCGCCTCAGTTCACACCAGGGCACATCGTTGTTGGGGGCGGTCATAATCTGAACGAAGCAGAAAACAAATAACTATTCTACATAGTTGTTTTTTTTAGGTATGCTATAAAGGGAAGGAAGTTATCGCTGGCGGTTTTTCCCTTTTCACGTGTGCTATACAGGGGTGGCCAAAAAAAAGTCGCTTCGGTCCACATATCAGCAAATTCGCAATGAATACGGGCACCAGGGCGGAAGATACCAAGATGTTCCTCGATAAGCAGGAGCAGGCTCTCGCCCATCACCTTCATGTACACCAAAATATGAAGTCATCTCCAATCGCAGCCTGACTGGAGAAGACCTTTGGAATTCATGTCACCTTCAAATAGCTGCGAACGTGTTCTAGTTATGGAGTCACCCTTGGATACTGGAGACAGTACTTTTGATTTGATGAACCCCAACACGACGCACACAACACCATCACACACAGAGCCATCCACAAATTTGTGTTTCGGGTATGACGGCTACAGCGAGACCATCAATGCAGTGTTGCAAGACGTCTATAGCCTACGAATGCCGCGAGGATCGGGATCAAGGAGTACGTTTTGTATATATGGGCATTAGGAGTAATTGCCGGAATTGAGAGATAAAGTTGTCACCATATACACTCATTTCGTTTTTCTCCGGTGGACCTCCCTCTCGAGATTGAGAAGGCTGAGAGCGAACTTCTTGTCGGCACGCGTTTCACATTATAAGCAAATATTTCTCGTGTTTGCCAGCGGAGGAAAAAGACAAAACCTGACGTTTCGTGGCGCGCCGTACTTATTTTAGTGCATGCGCCCGAGTCCCGGTCGTGATGTTTTTCAATGCATGCTACGCAACGATATTATTGTTAGCTAAGGGTAGGGGACATTCATAGGTCACTCAAGCAGTGATATGGTTTAACACACACAAGCCTGAGCGCAGGAGATGGCAGGCGGCCATGTAGTTACATTGAAAAAGTTGCTTGGTCGCGGGTTTGCGGCGCTTTTCTCTCAGACGGACGGACGATGATTAAGGTTAGCTTCCCTAAGGCACTTCAGTGGGTTGGGGGCTGACCAGCCAGACGCTAAAAGCTTCGACCCTCGAGGCCGTAATTTGGGTACGCAAATTTGTCTGAGATTACCGGTTTGTACTTCGGCTTGGCCCTCGCAAGTTACTAGACCCATTAGGTATAGGCCGAATCGCATTCAATCACCCACTGCGATTCTGAATGGAAGTGAAATGCGAGCCGCATCTCAAAAGGGGGGGTTTCCAATGGCAAGACCTTATCCCTTTCGATTCACAGCAGGTGCGCAATAGTATTAGAGTGGGCGCTGCTTAACCGCCCTAGTGCTTCGGGATTGAATCCACAACCTCTCCACGGTTCACTCAAGCGTTTTGCCCTCCCAAGGTCCGGCTCAAAATTAGCCACTGTTCGGCTGCTAAGTATGAATTGCGCCGAGGTACGGCTATCGCTGGACCCCGACAACACGGCTTCCGATCTGTGCCAAGTAATAGGGCTACCGGTTCTTAGAGCTCAGGCAAAACTCGGCCGCATCCGGAAGGCGAGGCATTTCTTGATTTTGTAGCGTTAAGCATACTACACACGCTCGACACTGCCGTACCACGCCCACCTCCGCTCAACAAGCGCTCAAGCGTCTGCTCTCCGCAAGCCGAGAGATGAGAGGACGGCCCCACACCGGGGCCTTTCTTACACCGCGCCCTCCGCTTCACACACACACCGCCAGCACTGCCCCATCACACCACACACACACCACCCCCTCGCCACATCCACTCTCCTTCTGCCCTTCACACGTCCCTTCCATCCGGGCCACGCACCCACACACACACCACACACACACACACACCCGGCACGCATCTATCATCGAGCACATATATCACGCGCCTCTCACACCCCCTATCCACAGCTCACGCTCGGCTCACACCACCTCCCCCCACTCCTCTACTCTTCCATATATGCGACAATCCATCACACCACGCGTCATTCGACCACCCAGCCGCTCAGTGTTGCTCTTATTGACCCCGCCCAACCTGCCCACACCCGACTCTCCCTGGCACGCCACCCAGCACCAACAACACGCACGCGACACCCACCCCTTACCAAAACACCCTCCCCTCGCCCTTCGCAACAACCACCGCACCCGCGCCCCGAGCCCACAACACCTCTTAAACAAACTGCCAACGTCGCTCAATCCTACTCCTACCAGCGCACGGGTTATCTCCCAACTGGATCTATACAAAGACTGAGCAACCGCGCACATGCACCACCCCAGCTTTCAGAGCTACGAACACCCGAACGCACCCGGTCGTATCGGCCCGGCGCTATCAGCCCCAACAAAACCCCCACTCGCGCCAGGCTGGTGCGCGCTCCGTGGCGAGTGGTGGGGAGGGGGTGGCTCTTCGCCAGTACTACTAATACTACTACCACCCCCAAGCTATACCTCTCCCCAACAGAGTCCCTCAAACTGCTGAGGTCCTCCAAATATAAGAAATAGTAAACTCGGTGCGACGCCAGCTAGAGGCGGAGAACAAAGGGATGTGTAAGGCGTCTGAAATAGAAAAAATCTAGCAGTCAAAAAAACTTGTCAGACTTACCAATTACTACCTCTTGGCTCCCTCGATGCATAGGGACTCCCCAACAATAGTGTGCTGGGTTTTTGCACGGATTCGTTGTTGAAGTCCTGGATGAATTTTTGAAGTTTACGATGGAATTCACTACTTTACATCGTGATTTCCAGATGAATTGCTTTAGGAGTCCTAAAACTCCTTCCTTTCCCGAGAAGTTTTTCATTCCTCCGTTTTGGTGTAAGACTTTCTTCAAAGCTGTCGCATTCGACACACTGCGGCTTTCCGTTCCATTAGTTGACGCGTTTCCGAGACTCTACGATGGAACGCTGTTTTCTAGCGCGACGGCATTAACCACGATGGGGACAACGAGGCAACCGTTGACCTCGTATCACTCACAACTCGCAAAACTTACGATCGCTTTGGGAATAGCTGACAGCGCTCGGGAAGCTATTCGTGTTCCGTTAGCAAAAAAATGTATGGCTCGCATGCTTTTAAATTCTAGGTGTGCACGCTTTGCATATTTTCGAAGGACGCCTTCGAAGGCGTTAACATAAGGAGCAGTAAAAACTAGTAACTGCGAAAAGCTCATTATAAGCGACTTTCAATGTGGTAATCACGTCGATTGCCGAGGGATGCACGTCATGGCTGTTTTGCATGTAAATGTTCCACACCAAAGCTGCTTATTCATCGTTGATGGACAAGAGCAAGCCGAGGCGCTCTCGTTGCAAATTCTATCAAAGGGCATATGCTAACTATTAAGTACACTTCTTACGTTGCTTACGTAATTTCAAAAACCCCTGGTGAACCCTTACCAGCTGGATCCGGACAACCTCGGACGTTAAATCAATTGTTGAGCCTCAATTCCTTTAATGTATGAGATTGAGTCGCATAATCCCTATTATGAACTTATCTTCCTTCTTCCCTTCCTCGTCAAACCCTTTCTTTCGAATCTTCTAGCCATCAGAGACGGTCTATCCAAGCTACCCAGGTCTCCCCCCAACCATAAGTACACCTCTGGCCGAACTGACACCGTAGGATGCAGTCGAGCTTTAAACGATCCCAACGCTTCATGCTGGCCCCAGGCCCTTCCATCATTTAATTTATCCTCTTTCTTCCCCTCGTCCTCAAACCACTTTTTTTGAACCCTGCCAACCTTCTCAATCGGGTATCCAAGCTACTCAGGTCCTCCCATCCCCCGCCACCGTAAGTATACCTCTGGCCGAGCTGGCACCGTGGGATGCATTCGAGCTTGGAACGATCCCAACCCTCGAACTGGCTCCTCCATCATTCCGTTTATTCGCCTTCTTCTCCTCCTCCTTAAACCACTTTCCTTTGATTGAACCCTTCCAACCACCTCAGTCAGGCAACCAAGCTGCCCTCGTCCTCCATCCCCCTCCACCATAAAAATTCTCCTGGCCGACGTGGCGTAGAATGCAGTCGAGCTTGGAACTATCCCGAGCGTCAAGCTGACCCAGGTTCCTCCATTATTTCACTTATCCGCCCTTCTTCCCTTCCTTGAATCCCTTTCCTCCCAATCGTCTCAGTCGCGT